ATTTTGCAATAAGCTATAAATTTGTTCAAATGGTGGTTGAATTTTTTCTTGAAGATCAATAAAAAAATCATAGAAACAATGCTTTGGAAGAATATTTTGATTTTTTTTTCAAAACATCTTGATAATCTTGGTATTGATTTTGAATGTCACTTGTAATCTTTCTACCATCAAAAATGAGTGTGGCATATATAATAAAAGTTGTTCTTGCTTTTGCAGCATGTATAAAAGCTCTTACATTTATCAATAAAAATTAAGTTATATTTAACTTATGGATTTTTACTTGATTAGTAGAATCTTGAATAAAGAATATTTCTTATTTTTTGACAAAATCTTTGTCTATAAAATAGGTTGATGCTTCTAAATCTAACAAGGCAAAGACTTTATGATTTTTTTTATCTCAAAAAAATATATATTATAAAACTAGGTAAAGAATCTTAAAAAAAAAATGGGATTTTTATCAAATATTACATAAGATTTTAGCTATACAATTTCTATTATAATTGAAGAAATTTTTTTTCCAATACATTGTCCTCTTTGGCAATCATATTCCTCTTTTTTTTTTTTTTATTATATTGCTTCTTTGGATAATTTTGAACAATATATTGGATTCTCCAAAATATAAGCATAAACCTTTTTGATGTCGTCAAATCTTTTCTTGCTTAATAAGAGGTTTGAACCATATTGTGTTAATTTTCATAAGCTTTGGCTTAGATGAATAAGCTTCTAAAAACTTATAAGGCATTGCCATAACTTAATTTTTACTTCTTCAACCAAATTTTTATTTTTTATATCTTTTAAAGAATTGATTATTCCATGCAATGGCTTGAGCAATAAATTGCTCTAATGAATCTGCTCTTGACATAGTCAACAATAAATCCATAAAATTATCTTTTAATCTATATTAAAATTGATTGATAAGGATTTTTTATTTTAATCTACATTATAGATAAGATTTTGGAATTCAGCAGCATATATGGTGGCTAAACATGATTCTTGTCATAAAAATAAAAATTTTGTCTTTGCTATCTTTTTTTGATTATTTTTTCCAAATTTAGCTATAAACACTTCTAGGAATGAATTCAAATCATAGAATAGTTTTAAATTTTTTTTATCAAAGATGTAAATCAAAAAAGACCATTCTCAAATAAAAATGTACTTATGAATATAACTTGAATAAATCCATTAGAGTATTAGAAAGAATGTAACCTTAGATAAAGCTTTATTTGTTATAAAAACCTTCAAAATTTTGATCTTGTTCTATCAAACTTTTCATGCATACTTATCTGTGTCTTTCTTATACTTGTAGTAAAAACATTTCTAAGATTCAATTTTGAACTTTATCTACTTATTTTTCTTAATTATACAACTTCTTGGCATAGACTTTAAACTTCATTGTTGACTTCTTCTATAGCCATAGGAATAGTACCTCTATGATTTATATTAGAAATATATGAGATTTTCATCATAAGTGTATTGACAAGATCATGAAGATTTGCAATAGTTGTAAATTCATTTTCACTTCCATTAAAAGTAGCGTTCATAATTTTTTCTTCCATAAATAATTCAAATAAATTCAAAAATAAAATTAGATGATGCTAATCTAAAATATCTAATATTAAATAATATTTTTTATAAAAAAAAATAATATTCTCTCTTTAAGATAAAAATCACCATTAAAAAACTAAAAATTAATTTAAAAGTAGATAGTCTATAATATTCAATAGAAGTGAGATATTCCATTCATTTTTAGAACAAAACAAAAACAATAAGTTAATATTCTTGTCAAACTGTCAAAGATATAAATCTTAAAAAATTTAAAAATCAATAAATTCTTGTATTATTCAAAAATATTAAAAAATCATTCAAAGATGATATAGTATTAAATTAGAATGATTATAGCCAAAGATAAGAAGATTATAAAGTCTTAAATAAGAATAATACCTAAAAAAATATTGATAAGACTAAAAAAGGCTTCATTCTTGCTTCTATATATACTATTTAACTAAGAGCTATATGGCAACATTCTATAGGACTTATTACACATGTTTAACTTGCAAGATACATGTTTTGACTTATAAGGCAATTTTTCTATAAATATGCTATATAATTAGCTTATATCACAAGCTACCAATATATGCAACATGTAGCTAACTTTTTGACCAAGTTTTTAATCTACCAATCAACTACATATACATATAAATTCAAAGCCACATCTATAAAACTTCTAAAAAGTTTTTCTATAATATATTATCAAATTAATCTATTATTACCTACTTCTACATATTCATATTATTTAAGAAATTATTGGAGTTAATAGATATGTTTGCAATAAATGATATTATATATTTGAAATTTTTTTATTGTACAATACTTGGATGCAAAAATAAGATTGCTTAAGAAATTTTTATAAGCATTATCATGTAATGTTTATAATATTACAATCAAGTAATATCAAAGATATTATATTTAATAAAAATATAATGGAATAAAAAGATTTAAATAGATCTTATTTTTATTTTATTTTTTTCAATTGAGAGAGTAGAATTCCATAAATTATTGAAGATAACATACTTTATGAGCTATTAAATACAATGGATGGTGAAGATACACACAAGAATCTAAAGGTTTATGTCCTTGATATTTCTATTATATATTATCTCTTTTAAATTAAAACCTATATTATCATTTGCTAGAAGATAAATAAGTTAGTATAGAATGTAGCTTTTGTCCGAAATATATATATTGTAATTAAAAATTTTGGACCTCTAAATATGTATAAATTATTAAATTTATATATTAAATTTTATTTAGCTAGAATACAAAAAGAAATCCACTCTAATTATATTTTAAAATATATTTGGATAGAAAGTCACATTTTTATTATTAATTATAATATAAGCTAAAAATATTTAAATTATATTTAGTAATAATAAGAAAAATATAAGTTCAATCCTTAATTTGAAGTGATAAAGGCAATTTTGTGTAATTTTTTTGATGATTGTAAGATTCCTCTCAACTTAGATAGTACTATAATCTTTATACATTTATAACTCATATGCACATTCTAAAACCTTCTTTTATTGCATAATGAAATTCTTTCAAAAATTGATTTTATATTTTATAATATCATTTATATATTTTAATTAATATAACTAAAATATATTTTATTTTACAAAGTTCATATACTTTGAATTTTAGACAAGGAGTCTAAGTATTCTAATACATTATATTTGAAAGAAATTCTTCATATTTTACATGATTGATTCAATCTAATTTTAAGTTTGAAAAATCAATAATTTCATCTTTTTAAATAAAGAAGAATAACTAATCTTATTGATTTTTTGCAATCAAACAATCCTACCATGCCATTGGAAATTTCTTAATGGCTTTGAAGTTTAGAAGTCAAAGCATATTTATGAAATCTTTAGAGAGTCCATTTATTATAAAAGATGTTAAGAAAAAAAAAGAAAGAAAGGCAAAAAAAAAAAATGCCAAGAAAGATGCAAAAGCAAAAAAGAAAGAAGATGAATTAAAGAAGAAGGGTATAAGAGATGAAGCCAAGATGACAATAGAAGAGAAACAAGCTACTAAAAAAATTTGAAAGTAAGAATAAGTTACCAAAGCAATAAAAAATGATAAACAAGTTACCAATTCAACAAAAGAGATGAAGAAAGAAAAATAATTTCTAAAGATTAAGCAAGTAGATGAAGAAATTTTGAAAGTGATCTTATTCTTTCTATGTGATAGGTTGTCAAGGAAGCTATAAAGAAGATTCTATACAAGAAGATCATGGAAGAGGAACCAACAATCAGAAGTACAAAACTTCATGAACTAATTTTTGAAGAAATAGTCAAAGACAAACCAAGATGTGGTCTTTAGGCTAAAATAATTAGAATTAAAAACCACCAATTATACTATATATTTAGTAATACTGAGTATATTATTAGTACATAGAGTATGTGATAGATTAGTTGTTGCTCATCCAAATTCCTTTGCTCTTATCAAGCTCAATTATTGAGATGTGCATGAAATAATGACCTTCAAATGGCTACATTGTAGAATCCATGACAAAACTAACTTGTTATGTATTTGCAAATAAATAAATAAATATATATATATATATATGTATATATATATATATTTATTTATTTATTTATATATATATATATATATAAATATATATATATATATATATAAATATATATATATATATATATGAGCATAGGAAAGGAATAAACCAATTGCTTAAAGGAAGTGGAATAACTAAAAAGATAGAATAAGAACCAAAGATACTACAAAAAAGTAGATTGTAGCATGCATCTTAAGTTCATGACAACTTCTAGCATTGGCAAAAATAGTGATGGAATGCAATGGATGGCAATTGCAAAAATTGTGGTGGCGTTAGCAACCTTTTTTATAAAAATAAGATCCAACTCTATTGATAATAAATTTGTAGAAAAATAAATTACTATATAAGTTTATAAGAAGTTAGAATGTTAATTTTTGACCTTCCATATTGAAACTTTGATTAGTTTTTAAAATATTTTTAATAAATATTTTTAATAAATATTTTTTATTTAATAAATTCAAAGTTATTATAAATAAATATTGATTTTTCATGAAATGGTAGTATCTACTAAATAAATCTATAGTTATATATATATATATATATATATATATATATATATATAGTACATTTAAATATAAAAAAACTCATATAATAATATTTATCTTGAACTTTTGATCATGTATTAATAATAATATAATTATCATAAGAAATTAAGATATATATATATATTTGGATATTACATCATAATATTTAAATATTTCTTATAATATTATCTTTATGAATTATTTTAAAATTTTATTTTTCAATAAATTCCAAATAATTATACCTTTCATTATGTGTAAATTTTAACCCTTTTATCAGCCTTTACATATTATTACCTATGTGCAAATTTGCCTATTATACCAATTCCATTTAAAACACTACCAAAAAGTAAAATAAATAAATACATTGTGAATGTTTCACCTCAATAACTAAAAAAATGAGTTACATCTAGACACCTAATAGAATTTAAATTTATTTAATTCAAACTTTCTACTATAGTAAGGTTCCAACTTCATGGTTTTTGACAGTGAATCCTGGTTAATACCAAACTGTGCAATGGCCAAGATTCACAAATCGTGTTCGACATGATTTAAATAGAAAAAATCAATAAACTAAACTTTTTCTCAAGGCATTGGCGTAAATCACTAATCTCAGACTGTTCTTTGTCAATGCGAGAGTGAGTCGGCGTTATGACTCAGTTTTCGGTTCCTCCGTCAGTTTTAGGCTCACCATTTGCATGAGATGGTTCGATCCGGGACTCGACAGCACTAGAATCAGCAGAAGAGGTGGGTTCATCTGCTGCATCGTCGTCGATGGCTATGGCTTCAGTCAGCTGGAGCTCATCGAGGTCGATCTTCATGACTGGTTTCTCCTCACTTAAGGGGGCTTTGCCCAGCACCTCCAGAAGACCCTCCAATGCAGCCGTGGGATTGCGCTTCTTCTTCAGCAGGAGCTCGCTCACGTCTGCTGGTGAGATGGCCTTGCCTGCGATCGCGTTCTCTATCTCCGGAAAAAGATCGTGCCACTCCAGCCCCAGGTTGTTGGCCGCCAGGGTGCGGAATGCCGGGTACTCGCACCACGACATGAGAATGTGTCTGTCCATCCTGCCCGCACGCAGCAACGCCTTGTCTAGCTTCTCAACGTGATTCGTCGTGAAGATGATGATGCGCTCGCTCCCGCAGCATGACCAGAGCCCGTCCGTGAAGTTTAGCAGTCCTGACAACGTCACTCGGCTTCCCTGAAAATCAAATTGCACGTCTCAACATTTGGTCCTCGTGGCATGGCATAGTTGACCGTCTGCAAATGGAACTGTTGCGGAGTTGTGTTGCGAGCCATCGTAGCACAACAGGATGCGTAAGTCGAGGTCGATTGCGACACTTATGTTAGTGCCTGATTCAAGCATTTGCGACTAGTACTGATACAACAAGCTGAATAGGGCAATAGGTCAATAACTGAAGTTGGGGTACCTCATCTTGATCAGATCTGCCTCGGCCTAATCCTGTCTCGGGATTCTTTTTATCACTCTCCTTGCGGGCCTTAGCTCGCTCTGCAAGATCTGCCGAACAATCTATGTCCTCGATGACCACAACCGAGCGGTTGGTTGTTTGAATCAACAGCTGTCGAAGTTCAGAATTCGAGGTGACTTCTGTCAATTCCATGTCATAAATATCATACTGCAAAAAATTAGCTATGGCTGCTATCATGCTGGATTTTCCGGTTCCGGGTGGCCCGTACAAGAGGTAACCTCTCTTCCATGGCTTCCCTGCTCGCTGGTAGAATTCTTTTCCCTGTGTAAACTCCAGAAGGTCATTCTTGATGTCCTCCTTCAACTCTGGGTCCATGGCGAGCGTGTCAAATGTTGAGGGATGCTTGAATGGTACTGCTTCCCACGATTTCTTCCTGAAACTGTAAGTCACAACTTGCGTTATAACTCAACATAAGATGTAGCATGTATGGTTTCAACAATTGCAAGTGCAGATCACATGAAACCCAGTAAATGAACCTCAACCCTACGGCTACTTTGGCAATCGTAATATTAGCACTTCGCAGCGCAACATCATGAAGACAGTGATGGAATTCGGCAGGTCCAGAGACTTCCCAGACATGAATCATGAGTACCGATTGATGGAAAAACTCACTAGTTACTGCCCTTGATGTTGGTGTAGAGAAGGCGATCTCGAGAACGCTCCTTGATCGACTTGGCGGCGTCCACTACATGCTGTACATACGGCTCGAGCAAGCGGTCCCTGTCTTTCTTACGAATCTTGAGGGTGTACTTGCGCTTCTCATCGTTCGGAACGTCGGAGAATTGAATGCCTGTGCTCTGGCGAATGTAGACAGAGCGCTTCCACCACACTTTCGTGCCCGTAAAAGTATCTTCAACAGTTTCGAGAGGTGCGGGTGAGAAGGTATTCTGAGAAGCGTTTTTCGGGCGGCACAAGTTTACGTGCTGAGCATCTGAAGCAGTTGAGGAGCTCAAGTAGGACTGTACAAATTCATAAATTTCATTACCACCTGCGCCCTCGAACTCCGGAATGTCGACGAAGGCGTAAGGCGAGAAGTATGTTAGAGCACGATGTAACCAAGAGTCAAATGTATTTCCATACTCTTTCGAGAGTATATTGCGGAAGAATCCTAACACTCCCAGCATCGCTGCCCAGAAGGTCCAAAACTCCATCGACCCTGCTCCTTGCATTTTTGTAATTGCACCCGATCCTGTAACGAATCCAATCTACACTGCTGTCCTGAATCTCTTGACCGCAGCTTGTAAGTCCAATTCAAAGGACATTCACCTTGATTCCAAATGTCGTCGTAATCCAATCAAAAAACTAGAGACAATTGAAAAAAAAAAAAAAAAAAAAAAAATCGCAGAGCAAGGCCATCAATTTTGTTCCGAAAGTGGAAGGCTTGGATAGAATTGTTCAAACGTGAACATGTCACGCTACAAGGGTCCAACCCAAAACTAAGGATGTGACTCAACCACCAATGAACCAAGCGCAATTCTCTCCCAAGCAAATAGAGTGTTCTTACCCCCCCCCCTCTGCGAATTGACACACAGTTCCCGTCCCAAACATGCGGCAACCGAAATGACGACACTGAGGATAGCACTGAAGCTCAACTGGTAAATATATCGCGAAACAAGAGCAGCAGTGTTGGTGTGCACTGAGGGCCGTCCCCTCTCATCAACGTGCAGCGGTAATTATCAAGAATGTCCTACTGCCTTGACTGTCAAGCGATCTCTTTTATGCACACGAGATGCTCAATGGAGTCATCTAATATCCTGAACCTTTATTTCCTCGAAGACGTCTTGTCAAAATTACAGACAAATGGAGCACACTTTTTACAACTTTTCAAGTATGGTCCAGAGTGGCGATAAGTACTACTGATATCAAAATGTGCTATCACAATAGTGCGGAATCTCGAACATTGTACCGATTAAACTTGATAGTATTAAAAAAAAAATGTGCTGTCACAATAATGCGGATTCTCGAACATTGTACCGATTATACTTGATAGTATTAAAAAAAATGTGAATATCTCAACGATGGAACTGTAGGATTCGGGCATGTGTACAAAAGCTGCTTCAACAAGGTCCAGGCGAAATTGAACCCTGCTTACTGAATTGTCACTTAATTCTGCTGTCTCTCTTTTGCATTTTTTTTGTTTTTTTTCTTTGTTATTAATTAGGCAACTATGGGGTGTAATCATTTCAGTAAACTTAGCAATCGACTCTCTCTCCAATTAACTTGTGGACGACTTATGTGCTTTGGAAACTTTTGGTATTCTATCTAATGGTGTTTTTGTAGTTTGTGAAATTCCTTTATATATGGATGTTTTTACATGTATATTTATTAACTACCAATTAGGATTAAGAAGGATTTATAAGTTACAAGAGTCTTGGTATGTAAAATAATCATGAAGATCAAGTCTTAATGGGTCATAGAGATAATTATTTTAGTAGATTTAGTATATTTTTTTGTTTATAATAATTTATATTTAGTTTATATTACTAATATTTAAAATGGTTTATTGATTATGCATATTATCTATTAAAAAATTATACATAATATTAAGTAGGTAGAAGAAGGATTAGAAAGAATAACATGACTTTGTATTGATTTATATAAAACAAAAAAATAAAGAGTTGATATTGATTTAAATTAATTTAAAAGCTAAAAAATGTGTGAAAAAATTAAATCTAAGTGATATTAGCATCTTCTAAATAATATAATTTTTTAAAATTTTATTGAAAACTTAATTAGTAATTATTAGAATAAATTTTTGAAGATTTGTATTAAAAGTTTTAATATTTTTTGGTAGCTGCTATACAGAATTAAAACAAGAATTGAAGGCTTTAAAAACAATTTAAGCTAATGGGATGTTTCTAAACACTATGTTGTAGTAAAATTTGTAAAAAATATAATTTTATTAAAAAAACTAAAGTGACCAACAATCACTTGTAGTAGTAGTATTAATTAGAAATTAAATAAATATATATATATATGTTCCATATGGATTATAGCACATTGGAAGTTGGTAGGAGAATAAGATAAATACAATGTGGCCCTTCTAAAATACACTAAAAACCACTCACAAGCATTGGTGAGGCTAAAATCCTTGACCAAATAATTAAGTTGTCCTTGACATAAACTTCAATTGCCTAATTTTCCTATTTTTAACTTCTTATTTGAAAAAAATTGTATGTGATTTTATAATATAAACTTCTTTAAATTTTCTTCTTTCACTTGGTTTTTCTTTTTTCTTCTTTCTTTGTTAATAATTTTGGTTTGTACTTCATAAAATTAAGTATTAAAAAAATAAAAATAAAATAATAAACTTGATTTAGGCTACTTTGTAATTTGAGTTGACAAATAAATTTTACTACAATAAAAATATATTTAACATTTAGAATCTTGTATGCATGCACAAATTTATTTTATATGAAAAAAAATATTAATTTTTAAAAATGTATGTAGATTACCTTAAATTCAATAAATTTACCATTAAAAAACTTATCTTTTATTTTTAAAATTAAAATTTCTTGACAAACAAAGTAAAGATAAAATTTATATTAAGATAGATCTACAAAAGTTCTACAATCTAATATATTAGAAGACTATATTTTAAATTAGATATGGCTATTTTTAAGATAATTTCATGCCTTTAATATTTAAAAATATTCAAACTATTTTTTTAAGATTTAATAAATAATGTGATTTATAAAATTCTACTTTATGTTATTTTATATAATTGAAAGGACACTTTTATCTATTCTAAGCATATGGACAAACATAAATATATTTGCCTTGTACTACAAAAACTAAAGTATATATAATTATACATTAAAAAAATAAAAAATAAAAAAATAAATGTATTTTGTACATTGCAAGGAGAATTTTTTAAATATATTGTCTCAAATGAAGGTTTATAAATTTCTTCTAAAACAATAGAAACTATTAAAAATTAGATAACTCCAAGAATTTTACATGATATTTAATTTTTTGGATTTGTAAATTATCATCAAATTTTAATTATAGTTTTTTGTAAACGTGTTGCCTCACTTATAAATCTAACTAATAAAGACAAATTGCAATAAAAATAGAGATGCAAAAGTAGCATTTCAAGATTTTAAAACAAATTTTACTAAAATTCTCATATATATCATATAGAATAGAAGCACCAAAATTTGCATTATGAATAGATTTATCATAAGTAGATGTAGATGATAGATTTTATACTATGATTAGACCCATTGTTTTACTAAATCGACCCACCCTGTCCTAACCATCGTTAGCATCATCTCCACTCCCCTTGTTTCCATTCCCAGCTCTCATCCCAACCCCCGTTTCCAGTTCCTAATCCTGACCCCAGCCACGGCGATAGAATTTCTACTTGGCGCGCTCCACTTTGCAGAGGAGGTTGTTCACAATGCTCGCAGCAGCTTTGTAGAACAACGACTGGAGAGTGCTAGTGATGGTGATGCGACCAGAGAGGTGAGCTTTGGAGAAGAGAGCAAATTCTTCTCTGAAAGAATTGCCTCTAACATGGGTCAGAAGAGGTGACGAGGCTGGCGATGGAGAACATGCGCCTTCAAGAGCAACTTTGCAAGTATGTAATTGATAGATGACGTGTGTGAATTCAATCAATTCTATGACTTACGATTGTTGGTTGTTGTGACTCACATGGTAGAACATGTTGCACATCTCCCATTGTTTTTCACTGCACTTTTAGGTTGGAACACTTCCATACCAATGGGGAGAGAGAAGCTATGACTCAAGAGATCTCAGATCTACGTGATCAAATAAGTGCTCTTCAATTCAATTCTGAACCTCATTGTGGACTTCTATGGTCTTTGTTTGTGGACTTCTATTGTCTTTGTTTGTGGACTTCTATGGTCTTCTCCGTATATGCATTCCTCAAACCGTCCTCACTTATGACGAGTCCATTTCACTTGCAGCTTGTGGACTTGCTGGGTATAAAGCTCTCTCTCGATTCTCCTGCTCATTCTCAGGTTTGTCTCTTCGATTAATACTAAAAACATTTGCTACAAGAATAAGGCCCTGTGGATTTCTCCACTCTCAAATCTTTTTTACTGGAATTTTCAGTGGAACTTGATCTGCAAAGCATTTCTTGTCAACAGGAAATTCATTCTGCAGTTAAAGTTGCTGCTGATCGACACCAAGATTCTCAAGTATGCTTTTTCTTAGCTCAGTTCTGATTATTGTTTCTGATACAGACTGGGACCATTGGAAATGATATTTTAAATTCTGGAAATTTGAAATGAATGGATGAAAAAATTATGTTTGTAGATGAAGACCTTGGAAGTGAATTATTTGGAGCTAAAAAATGCCCAGCATCAGCAACACCTTTTTGTGCTCAAGACTCGACTTAGTAAGGTATCAACTTTGATCCGAGTCTTTGTTTTGATGTCTTTCTGGATCTTTGCAGTCTGGTCTTTGAGTATAGATTAATATTTACACACTCGACCCTGTCAACCAGAGTGAAGAAAAAGCGAAGGAAGAACTGAAAAAAGAGAAGCGAGCTTGAGCATCAACTGAGAGAGCTCCTTCAAGAGTCCATCAATCTAGAGGCTTCATTAGAAGACGAGCGCGTGCATGGAAGAGGACTTGAAAAACAGATAGAAGATTCTCGGACGCTATATGTGAGACGGAGGAACTCGAGACAAAGATGGAATGGACGGTGCGGAAGTACATCATTTTGTGACAATCCTGCACCTTCGATTGGACTTAGAATCGGCGGAGATCACACTTGAGAAGCAACAACAACTACTAAAGGAGGTGGAAGCTTCTCGTAAATGCCTCCAGAAACTGTTGGATGACACAATCACACAACGATATACCGAGAAAGAAGCAGTCATCTTTCTCAAAAGTTGCCGAACTCGTGTTGAGATTGAGATAGATTCTCTCCGAAGTTTTATCCTCTTCTGACCCAAGTTAGCGGCAACTCTTTCAGAGAAGGATTTGCTTTCTTCTCCAAAGCTCACCTCTGTGGTCGCATCACCATCGCTAGAACTCTCCAGTCGTTGTTTACTAAGCTGCTGCGAGCATTGTAAACAACCTCCTCTGCAAAGTGGAGCGCGGAAACGGGGGTCGGGATGAGAGCGGAAGGAGTGTGGGTTGGAAACAAGGGGAATGGAGATGATGCTAACTATGGTTAGGACAGGGTGGGTCGATTTAGTAAAACAATGGGTCTGTTTAACATTCCCATGATTTTATTCAAAAAATTATTAGCAATAAAGATTAATTATAAGATCTATAATATATAAAAAAAAATCTTCTGTTTTATATTAATTTTTAATATTCCATCAACATTAACTTTTTTTTCACCTTAAAAGTAATAAATAAATAAATAAATCAATCAAACCTTTAAATTAAAAATTAATTTAATATTTTGCAATAAACTATTAATTCTTATTATTAGAAAAATCTTCATATATCAATATTAAGTATTTTTCTATTTAATAAACAGTATTTTTTGCCAAATACAATTATCATCTACAACTTGTAAATACTTTTAATTTTTTAAAAATATAAAATCTAACAATAGCGGTTTTGATAAATAAAATAGTATAACTTTATAAAATAATGAAGATATTACTTACAAAAGCTCAAGAAAAATAGAAAGCTATTGCAAATATTTTTATACAATAATAATCCTAATTTTAAATTAGTCATAAGATATGAATATGTTTTTGTAACATCAAGACCAATTCACCTTATGATAATTAATCTTATTAAATATTTAATTAATTTATCATTTTAAAAAAATCTAATTTTATACTAATCATAATTATTAAAATTTATGAAGATTCACCATGTATTTATGTGTCTTTTATTTAACCTTATACTACAACCAATACATTAGAAGGAAAGAAATTACCACTTCTTATTAAAATAGATAAAAACCATATTTTAAATTTAAGAGATTAAAATATTTTAAAACAAAGAGATCATAATAAAGGATCAACTTTTTGAACTTTTTTGGAAGTTACAAAACAAAAAATTGACAAATCCATCTTGAGAATTTTTGTTTGTTGAATTGCCATAGCAACACTTTAGTTGTTTTAATCTTCACATCATCAAAATTAAGATATAATTCTTTAAGTTAGATATGTGTTTTTTTAATAGATCGTAAAATATAATGTGTATGATACCAAAAGATTTTAAAGGACTCTTAATGCATAATAATACTATTAGAAGTCAATAGTATCCATCATAGCATTCAAAATTTGTTGTTTGGAGATAGTTATAGAGCCTTCAAAAATAATCAAATAATTATATGGTCCTCTTGCTTTAATATAGAATATTGTTAGTGAATCAACAAACTTATCAACCACCTTTATATCAATCATAAATCAAAGTTTGTTGCTAATACTATTTGATAAATCTTAGACTTTATCAACTTATGAAATAACTTAAATGTTCCTCAAAGAACTTCTTTCAAGAAACTATAGTTTTGAAACTTTTAAAGTTTGTAAGTTTGTAAGTTTTTATCTAAAAAGTACTTAATTTGATCTTTAAAAAAGTTATAAATTCTTAAAGCACCTTGATTATTTTCCACTATTTATTTTCTATCATTTTTTTTGGGATTCCATAAGTAATATTATTTCAATATGACATATTTTAATGGTTGTATAATAATTATATTTTTTGGTAATAATTTTTATTGTTAATTATTACATTACATGTACAGACTTATTTAAGACTTGTGCCTTTATACAAGCAATTGGTAAAAATCTATGTATAGATGTATTACTTTTATTATTTTTATTTAATTATTTTTAGATCTCATATTTTCTTATTTTATTTTTCTATTAAAAATGTTAAAAAAAAAACCTATTAAGATGGACAATTCATCAACAAAATTGCATTAAGATATTTATTCCACCATCTATTTGTTAGTATTGTTTAATTATTGTATTTTTATTAATTTTAGATGTTTAGTTAGTTATTTAGATAATTTCAAATTCTTCTTTGATGTTCATTTATTTCTTAATTTTTTAAATATAATATCTTACAATCTTTAATTTGATAAGATAAACGTCAAAAAAATCTATATTTTATTAGTACATTGTTGTGGTTGATTAGCACTCTTTGTTTAAAATAGACAAAGTTGATTACATTGTCTATTTTTTTTAAACCTATTATTGAAGCAATATCAATACAAAACTTTGGCTTTGTTGAAGTATCATTATTTTGACAATCTTATAAAATGTGATCAATTAGTTCAAAATTGAAATTAGTTCAAAGTAAAAAAAAAAAAAAAAAAAAAAAAATAGCATAGCTTATTAAGAAGTCTATAAATTGACACTATCCAATTATGGAAATTGTTGTGTGCAACTTGCTAAATTTGATATGCAATTGAAAAGCCACATTTTGTCCTTGCAACTTGCAATCTTTGTCCTTCTCTTATATCTTGTATTAGTATGTGGACATACTTTATTTCCTCTCCATGCACACTCCACTTAAGGCCTCCTTCCATGCTCAATGTGTGGGCAATGTTATTTTTGAACTTTGCCCACACTCAATAATCCCAGCAAGGTAAGTCCACCCATTTTCAAAATTTGCACTTTCATGTGTAAGGAGGTAAAACACTTTATGACACTAGTAGGAGGTCATAAAAAAAACATTTCTAGTAAATAGGTAAGAGAAGAAGAAATAAACATAAACAATAAACAAAAAACGCAGACCCACCCCGTTTTGCAATTTTTTCTATGCTAGCATTCTTGTTTACAAATCAGATTTGAACTCGACATTTCTTTCCTGATCTCAACAAAGCTCAGTTTCCTATAAAATCCCTCTGTGGCGGCGTTCCGTAAAACACGGAGTCCTCGCGTACCATCGCGGATAAATTCTGCTCGATGTTTTCAAGATATTCGTAAAGACCTGTGTCTGCAACCAGCAGAAGTGCCGCGAAATGGTCAGGCTATGGAGTCCGTTTGGCATTGATACTTTCCAACGGTGTTCCGTAACTGTTCCATTTCCAGATTCTAAATTTTGCTTGGACCTGTGAGCGAACGAGGTGTGGCGTTACAAACAGAACGTAAGAATGTGATGCGAATTCAAGAAGATTTATTTGCCACGATATTGAAAAAACCACTTTGGCAAAAGTCTTTCGAATCCAGGGTCGTAAGAATGATAATGTAGGGAATAAACTTCGAAAGCAGATAAAGCATGGAATACATGAGGAAGACGTATCATTTGATAGTATTAATACTGGCAGCCATGTGAAGGGTTAACAAAAACGTGGACTAGGAAAGGACTCACTCTTCTAATGGAAGTACTATCCTTAGGGATCTTAGCCAACAACCAATAACCAGCAACCTGAGACGTCATGCTACCTGCGGGAATCGTTGTCTTCATCATAATCAAAACCGTAAAATTGACCATCTCGTCGCGTCTGACGAGAACGAGCACTCTGCAGAGCCTACACAAATGAGTGTACTGATTGGCTTGCAATGATACATAGAGCATACAGCATCAACTAGGTAAACCTCTACCAAATCAACATGAGTAAAAATTGCTTGCTGTAGGTCTTCAATTGTCCAGAAAGAGTGGTGCCATGACCAATGTGATAGTAGCAAGCATCTTAATGAGCACGTGAAGAGAAGGACCAGCAGTATCCTTAAAAGGATCTCCGACCCTGCAATTAATAATATGCCTGAAATTAGCTCTTGCGTTGAACAGAAACAAGCAGCAAGCAGCACAAAGTTTGGACATTTTAGATGTTTGAAAAACGAGATATACAGATAAGCTTCTAAATTAACATCTTTAATGATATATCATCACCAGGTCAGTGAAATATTTAGAAAAAATTGTACAGACGAAATGTTTACTTACGTATCACCAGTAACTGCTGCTTTGTGAGCATCGCTACCCTTCCCTCCATAAGCACCGCTTTCAATATATTTCTTAGCGTTGTCCCAAGCTCCTCCTGCGGTATTGAGGAAGAGAGCCATTAAAATGCCAGAGACCGTGGCAAACATGAGCATGCCAGCCACAGCCTTTGCTCCTAGCAGCGGTTGATTCGTAGCTTGCCCAACAAGCCTAAATAAGATACCTGTACAATCGTTATTTTAAAATGTATGGTCAGAATTAGCATGAAGACATCAAACAACAGTCCATCAGTCATGATACAAGATGATCAAGATAGAGAAAAAGTGAATTCAATGACAGTGGGGAAACCAGGGACAACCCAGAACCACCAGTGAGAGACGTTATAAATGACGAGAATCATAAGAAATTATTAACCGTTAAAGTTCAGAAACAACTCCTCAACATCAGAAGAGTCTATTACCAATAGCAATAGGAGAGATGACCGCCAAAGCTCCTGGTTTTATCATCTCACGAAGAGATGCAGCTGCAACGATGGACACACATCGAGCATAATCGGGTTTCTCTTGGTATGTCTGCAATTCGCACCAAGATTTTTATCAAAAGCAAGCATCCACAAAAGCTCCAGATCAGATGTAGTAGTTAGTTAAATCTTGAATTTCCCAAGCATTCCAAACCGTGACCACTCCATGAAGCATCTATTCTCAAAAGAATACTCACCATGATACCAGGCCGTTCAGCAAACTGCCTCCGGACTTCGCTGACAACCTCCTGAGCGGTTCGGCCCACAGCAGCACATGCCCAGGCACTGAACAAATAAATGAGCATGGACCCCAGCAAGCCTCCTACAAACACTTCGGGGATTGCGATATCCACCTGAGTTCACATAAAATGAATTTTAAAGAGGATTTTAATTTTCACAAGACAATATTCCATGCAAACCCTGCATCCTTCTTTGAAAATTGGACCTTGAAAACAATTGTTTCCAAGATAGTAGAATAACTGAACACTAATTGCAGGAACATGAAGATGTTATACCGTGGTGAAAGGAACGCCAGAGAATGAAGACACCTCATCCATGTAAGCACTGAAGAGAAGAAAGGAAGCTAAGGCAGCTGAGCCAATGGCAAAACCCTTGGTTGTTGCTTTAGTGGTGTTGCCAACGGCATCCAGCAAGTCGGTGATTTCTCGAACATTTTGTGGCTGCAACCATTACGTTAACAGGAATCAACGAAGCCGACACCCAAATACAAAAGTTCAACGAGTTCATTACACCAAAGAACATGATATAGAAAAAAATCATGAACGCCCTCACCTGTTGACTCATTTCAACAATACCTCCAGCATTGTCTGCAATGGGTCCAAACATGTCCATTGTCAACACGTAACCAGCGGTACTGAGCATGCCCATAGTTGCTACAGCTGTTCCAAAGAGCCCTCCGGTAGGCATTCCCCGACTGTCCTGAAGCCCGGAGGTTTTGCCAAGCCAGTAAGTGATAACAACAGATACACTAATCACGAGAACTGGCATTGCTGTTGATTCAAGGCCAAGCCCCACACCTGCTTCCAAAACCAAACAGCTTGATCAAACACCATTATACGGCTCCATTACTAATTGTCAAATGTTCTTCAGAGCGACGATTATTAATGATTCAGTGTTACCATCCAGAGCAGCTGTAAGCCAACAACCCAGTGTCTCAGTTTCTTATCAGACTAGATAGAGAGTTCACTGTTGCTAAATTGATGTCCAAAGTCTATTGCACGAAACAGTTCATTCCTGCAGCAATCCATCCCGGGAAAAGAATTCCTTGAATACAGCACCCAAAAAGACTTAAATGCGCTTGAAGAAAGATAACCTGCAATTACATTGGTTCCATGACCTGTTGTACTCGCTAGGGCCACCTGACGAACTGGATCATACTTGTAGTCAGTATAGTACTGAGAGATCCAAACAAAAGCGTATGCAGTAATAATACCAACCAGCCCACAAAGAGCAAAATGAAACCAAGCCGAAGGCGCCTGTTCAGTGTATAGAAGCCATCTTGTTGACTGCAAGGAACATAAGAATTGAAAATTAGAAAGAGATTAACATATCATCCCAAGGTAATGTTATTGTAACATCGAATACATTTAGCCTTAAAATTTAGCAGTCAGAAACATCCTTCAAAAGTCCACTGTGCCGGGTTTTAAATGTTAGATTCAGTTGGTTTCAATGCTATGACAAGAAGCTTAATAAGCGTAATAAACAACCACAAATTTATACAATACAAGTCTGACATTCTCCAAATACTTACTCCACCGAAAGCTAGCACAGCCAAGAAGAGTGTCACAGAGTAACCCTTCTGTAAAATTATCATGGGATCTTCAAGAATTGACTTCGAGCTAGGGTCTCGAGTGCCTTTTATTGAAGCAATCCCGATGGCAGATACAACCAAATCAAACGAGTGCACAACCAGGGGAAAGAGGATAAACCCAGATGGATCTGCAAAAATATCAATCAAATGAATATTAGTTGTGCATGGACCTCTACATATCTCGATCATACGAGGCAGAAAAAAATTGATGTGACATAAATAATGAAGAAACTGACCTTCTAGTTTGCAGCGTTTGGCCATTGTACCACCAAGAATCATGGCACTGATGATTTCAGCTGCAATACTTTCAAATAAATCGGCACCACGGGCAGCACAATCTCCCACGTTATCACCAACCTACTTCGATGTACAGGCATCAGCAACTGGAAGACCAATAGAGGTACTCAAATGTGGATGAACTCTACTAGTGTCCAACACACTACAACTGACACCAGTCTAATAATCAAAATTAGACAACTACATATACAGAATAACATTAATTTGAGCATACCAGATCAGCGATTACGGCAGGATTCCTGGCATCATCTTCAGGGATCCCTTGCTCAACTTTTCCCACCAGATCTGCACCTACATCTGCAGCTTTCGTATATATCCCTCCTCCTAGTTGTGCGAATAATGCAACAAATGAAGCACCAAACCCATAACCAACCAACAGTAGAGGCACTGAAACAAGACAGAACGTCGTTAATATATAGATTAACAATTCAACAACAGCTTGTCATGAGAAGCTGACCAAATTCACTCAACAACCTTGGAAACGTTAACAAAGTTCGAAGAGTTAGACAGGAAAGAAGGATAATTTACATTCAGTCATCTTCATGTTATTAACAGTGTCAACTCCAAGAAAGACATAGAAGGATGCAAAGAGCACTGCCACCCCCATTACAGTCATGCCAATTACAATAAGAGCAGAAAAGCCTCCCGCACGCACGGCCACCTGCCAATGGCACGATTAACAAATATTATGTAGCCTTCAAATAGCATCCCTTCAGTTCACAGCTGATGTTCACAAGAAGAAAACCCAAGGTAACAATGTATTTTGACTTACAATTTAATGAGAAATTCAGAATTTACTGGCAACTTCAAGAGCCGTGCCTGCTTTTCATGTTGTCTTGTATCAGACACCTCAATTCTCTTGTTCAAGATCCACAAGATTCATTATAGAGAAATTCAGGTATGTGAGGTGCAACTATTACTAACCTCTTGTCATCGCGATGATCTACAACTACAGTTCAGCAATTCACAATTTCTAACTACCATGGGAACATGTCAAGGCATATATGTTATATTCGACAGTCCACTAAAGACACCTACACAAACTTCGCAAAACTAAAACGCAAGAAAAACTGTATAAGAAACACGAACCAGTAAAGCCTCCCGTGCAGAGCGCCGAGCAGCACTGGACACACGCACATTTGCTCGTACCGAGACCCACATACCAATGTAGCCAGCAATACCCGAACAAAGAGCTCCTAAAAGGAATGATAGAACCGTAATAAAAGCCAACGTTGACCTGAAAGAACCAGGGCATCAGTAGCAATCAAAAATCATTACAGAACAACCTGCAGAAAAGACCACCATAGATGACTGTTGCAATAATTGACTCTACTACCACAAATAACCTCAAATGAGTCATTCATATATATAATTAATCTTCCTGCACTTCAAACACCCCATATTCGCATAATTCGAGTTCATATTTTGATCCTTAAGGAACGACTGCTCACTTCTCAAGTCCAGCAGCATCTTGCTCTGGTGTAGACTTGCGGAACATGTAGATACCAAAGATGACAAAGGCCAAAACTCCTGCCATCCTGGATATCGATCCATACTGTGTGCGAAAGAAACCCTCGGCTCCATCTCGGATTGCATCAGATATCTGCATACATCATCATTTCTTAGTACCACCAACGACCAAATACATGTTGACGGTTCAAGCTGATAGAATCCGTGGAAGAGCGTACCAAGGAAGGACAAAGATGTCCAACCCTAGAGAATCTCGCTCCCACCTAAAAACTGCTGAAACATGTACAGACTCCTGTAAACAAATATTCATCGCTATTTTTATTTACACAGGTACTGTTCAGTTATTCAACTAACCTATGCTGATGACACATTTACACAAGCACTCACAATTGCTGTAGCTAGATAGTAACACGGTCGACTATGTACCTCGCTCATTTCAGGCGGGCCTTCGTCCTTTGCGAGTACCCAACTTGCGAGGTAAACTGCGTACGCCAAGCTACCCGTGCATACTATAAAAACGAACAAGATGATCGGAGAGCTTCTTGATCCAATGTAAAACAAGGACAACACAGTAAACAATGCAAGGAGGTAGTACACGCGTTTATCCACTCTGAGGGCCGTCTGTACAAGCTGCGATCGAGAGAAAAAAATTTACACACTTCAGTTGGATAACCTCCATGGTACAACATAAAGGCAAGATACACAGAAGTCAGACATGGTAAAATCTAATGAGAGAGCAAGAACATAAACGTGATGAGCAAAACACGCTTTGTTCGGTCCTTGCATGTGAAGTGGTTAACAGACGATAACATAACAAGCCTAATGTAGAGTAACCAACTTTTCTACTCAGATGACACGTTGTTGTGCGATATAATTCCAAAAGATTGGCTGCCAGTTCCTTCACTGGTTCATGAACATCACGTACATGTAGGCGTTGACAAGAGCAGTGGGACTACGGTAAAGATTGATCAGAGATGTCGAAAGAATATCAGCGAACAGTTGCCAGCGCATAATAACGTGTGATGCGTTTGTCTGATGGAATTTGAAGATTATGAATGAAAGATTCTATGTAAAAATACTATGCGTCATAGGATTAGAGAAGGCCTTACCCAGAAAGGCTTGTTTTTCAACGACGAGAAAGTCTTCGAATCCTTCTGATATGGCCCCAGCAAAGCATTTTCCACGTCCATTCTATGATCGTCATCCATGGCCATATTGCTGGGCGAAACAAACCTGCGAGCAACTAGAGGATTGGGGGCCTCTCCCCCCAGAGAAGGATCCAGCTCGCCCCCTCGATGCAGAATTTCTACGTATCCACGTCAAGAATCAAGCATGTAAGCCGAAATTTGTCAGGAACTCCCTGTATTCACATATTTGTCAACGACTCAATATACTGAAGGTAAAATGCTGAAATCGATCGCCACATGTTATACAACTAGTGTCTTCCAGATCAAAATTGGAACTCGCAATGCCTCTCGGAACGTGATGAGAGCTAATTGCCGTAAGTTCCTGGTCCATCGGAGAACAGAGGATGCAATTTAAATCGTTCACCAACTTGAAGCAAACGCGAAAACGCACCCTAAGAAGACAGCAGGAAAAACGTCATTTCGCACGAACGATCTTCAATACAATGTCTACCCTCGAACAGGAAGTTTGCGACATAACCCTACCGACTTGCACACCACGTCATTACATTCACACAATCCTTTAAAAATACCTAAAACCTTACAAAACCTTGAGCAGAACCTAAGAATAGAATCACTAGACACATTCAGAACAAACATCAGCCACCTCCACCAAAAGATACACAAATTGCCCCAACTCACCTCGTAGCTGCACTCCAGAACCCGCAGAAAACCCTGTAACATCAACCAAATTCTCCAATTCTTCCTTCGATGGATTCCCTCCGCTGGGAACTCACTCAATCAGATGCGGCCAACGCAAGAATCAGCAATCCGACGCGAACTCGCAATCGGTAAAGTCAAAGCCCCACCGGAGCCCCCCTAACCAAGCTATGACAACTATGGACAGACATGCATTAACTTAGTTCTGTCAAAGGAGGAAGACGACCGTCGATTCACAGGGTCGGGTACTCGAAATCACGACTCAACTTACCCAAGTCACTGCTGCATTCAACACCGCGACCCCTAGTTTCAGTGGGCGGGGTTAGAAAGAAATACAAGCATAGCATCCTCGTACAATTGTTTCGCATACTACCAATATCAATAAATTAAACACACACACGCGCGCACACAAATATATATATATATATATATATATACATATATATATATATATATATATATGTATATATTCTTTTTCTTTTTCTTTTACGTATATGCGTGTAGAGAAATTGGAGTAACAGTAACTTTGTCTATCTTATTCTATTAAAACAAGAGTTGTATCGAAATTCACATTATTTTTTAAGTTTCCACGCATTATTTCTAAGAGATGAGGAATATGGATTTGGCACATTCTAAGACTCTATTAAAAGAAACTCTTAAACCTTGTGATATGTTCTTGAAGTCGAGAATCGTGTAGCACTTAATGTCGTTCAACAGCATTGAAACCGCAGCAATGCATATCCACTCATGGGCAGTGCGAATACAAACCAACGTTCCTAAAGTGTACACCAATCTCGAATACGACACACACAAATTATTGAACGAGGTTATAGCAATCTTGAGATTTCTCAAAACCTTACTGTCGGAAAACAGAGCTAAAATCTGACCAGGTTATTCTGCAACAACGCCGGGGATGTGTAACTCCTCACTTTCCACGGCCGAATGCGAGATGCCTTCAAGGAAACCTTAGCGATTTTGAAAGATTATTCGGGAGGCAGGCAGAACCTAAAATTGAGACCACTTGGTGATTGTGTGTATATGGCGTTCACTGGCTATAGAGACGGTCTCATGTTTCTTGAGGACGTGGTACACGACTGGAACAGCCCGAAACGCGATTCAGCAAGGTGTGTGTACAGATCACACACTTGAGGCGAATTGCGATTGAGAGCAGCGAAAGTGTGAACCTCGTGTGGAACTGCGTGATTAGACTCTGAGATGGTGTTAATGTGGCTTGTGGCTCGAAGGCAATGTTCTTCGAGGAATATGTACTGCGCAGTTCGGAGGTAACTAAACACTCTGTTGCGAGATTGTTGCGATCCATCGACGCTCCGATCCGCATCGACATCGACCTCGAAAAGCAGCAGCAACAACTGCTTTCGACGACGGCTTCGATTTGCGGAACATTGAGATAGCGTTGCAAACATGGTTTCCATGCTTAAGTTTTACTCTGTGTTTTTATTTTTAAACAGATAACATACTTATACTGATGTGTAAACATAATGTTACGATCTTGTATTGTAACGTGTTAAGTGACTGTTTTAGAAGCTTTGGTGTAAATTGGTTTGAGGATTGCACTTGATGTTGCTTGAAGCTCTGCACATGTGATAAATGTTGTTAAATGGAAATTTGTGTTTTTTTTTTTTTTTTTTTTTTTTTTTTTCTTCTTTGTACTCTGCAAGTGATAAAAAGTTTTGGAAGGTTGTGCTACATACATAATTTGTGTTAAGATACTTTGGTCTTTGTACAAACCTCACACCAAAATTATGGTCAATTTGTTTTTTATAAAATAATTTATACGCATTTATAACCACTATAAGTATGTAGATACAAATCATGTTATTGCAGTAAAGCTTTTAAAATTTAGGTGAATAAAGATGACTTCCTGTCACGGACATAATCATATAAGTTAGTAATTATATATACAAATAGATAGAAGTAAATAAAAATAGGTAAAAATAAGTTAATTCTATAGTATTTAATATAGAAGCTTCTTAGAAGCTTCATAGACGCTGCTTTGACTTCAATTGGTGTCTTTAATTGACTTTTTGGATTAGAAACGTAGTCAACAAGTTGGCCATGTACCACATATGTTGTTAGCTTGAAGATCAAGCTAACTATGTGGCCCACATGTAAAAAAACTTGCCTTGTAAGTCAAGGCATGTGTCCTACAAAGTCAACACATATTGGAGGTCCTATAGAACGTCGCCACATAGCCCCTAATAAGATAGTATATATAGAGACAAGAGTGAAGGCTTCTTCACTCTTGTCAACTCCTTTCTTGCTTCTAGTCTACTTTCAAGGGTCTCTAGTTTATTTGTCTTTGTTAGGGACATAATCCTTAGAATCTTTTAGAGACAAGTTTCTAGAACCTTCTAGAAGCAAGTCTCTGGAACCTTCTAGAAGCTTCTTAGTTGGTAGAAGATGTTAGGGACATAGTCCTTAGAACCTTCTAGAGATAAGTTTCTAAAACCTTCTAGGAGCAAGTCTCTCGAACCTTCTAGAAGCTTCCTAGTTGGTAGAAGTTGCTTGAGAAGCTTCCTAAATTGGAGTATATATTGGAATCGAGGCTAAAAAGTTCTTCAGTCTCGACAACACATCTCTTGGAGCTCTAGCTCACCTCTCTGGTGTTGTTCTCATCTGATTAATCTAGTTCTTGCCAATTCTTCTTGAACTTCTTGTTAGATCTCAAGTCTGTATTTCTATGTCTGTGACAATTTGTCGAGACTTCACTCACCTCAGATATCAGAGCTAGTTTTTTCTTTGTTAGAGTGTGGATTACCCCTCTGCATGAAAGTGTACTAGCATTTTAGAGGTTGCGGATTACCCTCCCCTAAACTGATACTTCTTTTGTTACAATATTGGAGTCTTATTCTTCTTGGAGAGAGTGGATTACCCCTTTTCTTGAAGCTCTTAAGGCATTTTAGAGGTTGCGGAGTACCCTCCTCTAAACCAATATTGTCTTCTTGTAGAATCATTTTTGTCCTTCTCTTAGAATGGCCGGAGGCCAAGACATTAGTATGACGGAAAGTTCAGAGTCCAAGTTAAATGCTATCATGAATGCCATCGCTACCTTGTCGTATTACATGCTTTCCTGCTCAAGAACGTGCTGGGCGTCTGGCTGTAGAAGGTAATATGAAGATTCGCCAATAGTCAAGCAGTCTATCAGTTTTTGACTGCTGGAATATAAACGACTACAAGAATACACCGTAAATCTATACAGATGCCCTTCGACTGCTTGTGGAAGTCCTTTTTGCCCCAGTCGGTAGGTCTCTAGACGTTACAGAGAACCCCGAACAACCCAATCTGCTAATCTCCGATACCGCTTTGTACTTATGATCTTGTATCTACTGACTGTCTTGTTAGATTAATCCCAATAAATTTCATTCACTCCGCATACTCAATCCTATAGACACCCTTTTAATTCTTCAATCACAAACGTAACTCGATTTCACAAAACAGTCAAGAGTAATCAAACCCACTTCATTAAAAAATCCCGATTCACCATTACAACACTGACTTCAGCAACAATTGCCTCAGTCTTCCCAAAACCCTATGAAGAAGAAAAATCCAATTCTCCGTCTTTTCTTCCCCGATCCGAAGCATGAAGCTCCTCTCCAATTCCCTTGATCTTTAAAAAAACCTCCCCAAAAACTTCTTCTCCCCCTAACCTTATCCTCTGAATTTCTTCAATCTTCCGTCTTGGATCCGGAATTGGCTCCCACCGTCAGAGCTTAGATCCGAAATTGGCTCCTGCCGTCAGAGCTTTCTCCTCCGTTTTTACCTTTAAGAGATCCATTTACCGAAAACAACGTTCCCTGAAACGGCACAGAGAATAGGACAGCCTGAAACAGAATCGAAACCCCGTACTCGGGTCCACATTGAGTCGCCCGACCAATTCAGGTCTCATATTGGGTAAGATGCCCATAGTAAGACCTAGATTTTCCAGTAATTAGACTGCATTGGGTTGCCCGGCCAACTCAGGTCTCATATAGGGTAAGATGCCCGTAGTAAGACCTGGATTATCCTGTAATTAGACTGCATTGGGTTGCCCGACCAATGCAGGTCTCATATTGGGTAAGAGGACCCGGATTGGATTCTTAAAATTGGATCCAATTCGCTCTTCGAACCAAGTTCACCTGTCGTGTGAATTGGTCCTTTCTCTTCCTGCTGACTCCCGTTATTGGAATCAAACGGAGCATTTCAGTATGCCCCGGCTGACTGTAACGGGGTGAGTGAACCTGGCCACTCAGTATTTACACTGGAGTTGGTCGTTGCTCTCAATATTCGAGGTAACTGAACATTATTAAAAGTCTTCTTTCTTTATATTTTCACGGTATACTCGTGTTACAACACGACATCCATCCCCTCTGAACCTGTGCATCCTCCGATATGCACCAATTTACCCAATTGCTGTTTGATTCAGAATATATCCTCTACGTCTTTGTCCTGTTCGTCTTCGTCACCTTCATTATCTAAATCACTTTCATCTTCTTGCTGCGGAATCTCTATACCTTCATTAAGGTCTTCCATATTCATCTCCGTGTCTCTTCGTTTTAATATTTTTACTCGCTTCCCTCAAATTGGTATTTTCAATTTTGTACCATCTAACTCCCGTAATGAGTAAGTCGCATTATCATGAACAGTTGTTACTACATATGGTCCAAACCAACGTTTTGAAAATTTCCGCAAAGTACTATGTTGATTATCTAGACTATTGTCATAAACAAGTACCCAGTCACCTTCTTCGATTGCTTTTGGTCTCAATCGATGTTGCTTATCGAATCGCGCCTTGTTTCATAACCTTGCTCTTTTTAACCTTCCCAATGCTATCTGGACATCTTCCGTTCTTTACTCCAATTGTCGAATCCTAATAGCCAGAAGTTCTTCTCTTGTCAATCCATCTTCCCATGGTAGCATACTCCAAGTAAGTACCTTTTCTTCAATCGGCATAATTGGTTTTTGACCTGTCATAAGTTCTACTGGCATATATCTTGTCACCGAACTATGTGTTGTTCGATCAGCCCATAATGCAAATCACGAAAGCCGTGGCTACTCTTTAACTTTCCCATTACAAGCTTTAACTAATGCTTTCACAATCGGTGGGTGACCGCGTTCGCTTTTTGCATTCCCTTCCGGATTATAAGCAGTAGTCAGTGATAGTTTAACTCCACATCTTTCAAAGAACTTACGAGTTTCTTGGGCAATTAATTCTCCACGATCTGCAGTGATTTTTCCTATGCATC